TAATGCAAAAGAGCAAATTAAAGGAGAAAGAAATAGTTTGACTTATCGTTTAAATGGAAATCTGCCATTATTGCAGGAAAGGCATGGCAGCAGGAGCTGTAGGCTTCTAGTCACAATTCACCCACAGCTGGGAGGCAGATGGATGTTCCTGTTGTGCTTGCTTTCTCCATTTAATTTAGTGGGGGAAATAGAGCTCCTAGTAAGGTACTGCCATATTTCGTGCAAATCAGCCCAATTAGCTCAGGTAACCTAATCTAGATAATCCCCCATGGACATTCCCAGAGACTAACCTATCCTGAGAGGCTTGTCTCCTACATGATTCTAGATTGTGGCAAGGTGACATTAAAATAGCTTAAATTGAGTAGCATGAAAAAAAATGGTGTTCATGGACAAAGGCTTTTGTCTAATATTCATATGGCAAAGTATATTTTAACAGTTGGTTCTGTGTCATCTTCTAACTTCCAAACATGGTATTCTGAGCCTTTGTAAATGTTCTGCAAGACAGACAAGCCCAAAAGGGAAATAAGGAAGTACCAGCAACTCAAGACCAGTCCTGATCAAAAGTTCAGGACAGCTTGTTTTTTCTCCCTTTCACACAGGGTTTCTTTGTGTCTAGTCAGCCTTAGTAACCTTGCCCTACTTAAATTATCTTCGAATTCTTATTTGGATTATACATTTAGTTAGAAAATTGCAGGAGGAATCTTGCAATCAAGAAGAACAGCATATCTCATGACCTCGAACCACAAAGGAGCAAGGCAGGCTTCAGGATAATGAAAAGAAAATTAAAAACTAAAATTGGCCAGAAGGGCAAGAATACAAAAAAAAAAAAAATGTCTAAGGTTTGCAGTGAGGTGATCTAGCTTGCTTACACCAGGCCTTGAAGGCCAGGTTAAAGTCTTGGACTTGGTTCCAGTTGTAATAGAATAACATTCATGACAATTATGAGGTGGGGTGTTCAGGCACAGTGTGCATAGAACTGGCCATTTAGATGTGAGTGTTTTGAGAATCAAAGGGTCATTATTTGTAATTACCCTAGGAAAACAGGCACAGACTGGGTCTGTCTGTAGCAAACTGGAGTGAGACTCCTTCATAAAGGCTCCTGTATGCTTGTGAATCTCCTCCCTTACGCAATGCCTGGGAAATCCATTTTTGCGTCACAGTTGCCTTTCCCAGGCCAGGCTCACTGAATAGAGCTGTGTCCTTTCTTCCTTTATTCATCCTTGTGCCACTCCAGTGCCTCTGCTCTAATCTTATTCAGCCATCAAGAAACATTGATGAGAGAACCGTTTATCTTCTGCATGAACCATGCCTATCATACTGTCTGCATCAGGCCCTGTGTCTGTTATAGGGTAAGGAAAACACAGTCACTAAGCTGTGACAGATTTGGGTGCACTTGCCTGCAGTCTGGTCTTTCCCTTTTCCAAAGTGGACAAGAAAGTTCAAGGTACTGAGGCATTTTCTCTTCCGTCTTTAAGATTCTGCACAGCGCAGGGCAAGAACGTGCCAGTACTCCAAGTGTGCCGTGTCTTTATGCCTAGGAAAGTAGGGGCAATCTGGTTCTGCTCAGAGGTTAAGAACTATCCTTGATTTGCAAATATTCCACTCCTGACCTGGAGACCTTCCTTGGGATGACCAGTGAAATGCACTGAATGCTAATGGTTTTGCAGAAGTACTAGGGTCATATCAGGGTTGAATACCAAACAGTGAGTAGGAAACAAGTGAGGTGAGTGTTTCAAGCTCTGTCCTAGCTCGTGATGAGCTCACAGACTGCTGCTCTTTGGGGCTGTTAATTTTGAGCAAATGTGGTTTTAACAACCTGCCTGTTGTTCTCTGTTTACTTTAGGAATTAAGAACTATAATTTTGCTGGACTGCCTTTTTAGCTCCTTATCTACTTTTTTCCTAAAGGGACAGGTAAAATTCAGTTTCTAGCCCAGTTTCAAAACACAGCCTCCAGGAGGAGATGAATCATGAGGCCCTCTCTTCTTAAAAATCTTTCTAAGATAAGACATCTGGGAGAGGACATTACCCTGTCAGAGCCACTGTCTCTAAAGTCAAAACCACCCAAGGCTTTGGAATTTACCCTGTGCTCTCTGCCTACGGCTCAGTAGAGCTGTCTCTCCAGACTGTTTTTGCAGGCTAGCTTCATAAAATAATAGAGCACAGCAGAAGTGTAAAATTGTCACAAGAGCTTATTGTCTCACCTGCATCATTTGTTTGCATGAAGCATCTAGCCTACACTGCTAACCAGGTCATAAATATATGCTGAATAAATAAACCCATCACACAGCCTGAGCTTTAAATATAATTAATGAATAACTATTGTATCTGCCTCTGAGAGAGTCCAAGGAATTGAATTTCAGTGCAGTAATTCTTTAACTAATCAGGACCTTTAGGAAAGACAAAGACAGTGTAGTATTCTGAGTAAATGATTTCCCTTCTTAGGAAGCATGACTAATGGTTGTCATTCACAAAAGAAACCCATGCATTCATTCTATCACAATCACAGAATTTATCAATGAATTTTTTAGTGAAGAAGATTCTTCACAATAGTTGTAAGGCCCATCTACACTCAATTATTAAGATACTGGTCAAAATTAGTTCTCATGTGGTTAGGAATGTTGCACTCCTGATGGATATAATACAGTATATAAGGATCCATATTCTCAGTGCTTTAGTGATATGTTAACTTCTGCAGACTGAGGAGCTTATCTTGCCAGGGGATCCTGTTGTCCTCCCAGTTTTATTTAAATTCTTATGGCTCATAATGGTTTCTATTATGCAGAAATATCCTGAGCATGCAAATGTTAGGTAAGCATATTATTTTGGAAAATTTCCCTGAAAAAAAAACCTTGGCATAAAGGCATGACAGTAATATTCCACCATGAACATCTACTATATTGTGGCTATCAGAGCAGAAATATGTATTTTTTAATGCTCTTTCCCAGGAGATTTTTGCCAGAAACTTGGAGACCTCTGTTGCCCTTTGTGGAGCCATGGAGGCTTCATACTATAGTCTTAGTCATATAATTCTTAGTCATTTCAGCAAGACCTGAGAAGCAATGCTGTACCCCTGATGCTGTAAAAAAAAGGATGCTATAATTGCTGGCATTTAAAGGAAATTCAAGTCAGCCTCCTTCTTTCCCTTGTTTAGAAGGAGTTCTTACAACAGTGACTTCTTCCCTTTGCTCAAGTCAAATCATTGGGTCATTCATTTCCTTTATGTGTGACAAAGCCCCTGGACTAGAGCCACTTCAGTGGAATCTACATTGAAGGGAAAGATACAGTCTTGAGTTGGTCTTGTTATGAATAAAATTCTCATTGCTTTGAACTCTCACTCCTTTCTCTCCCATAGATCCAAAGTTCAATTATCATCACTCATAGCAATTTAAGTACGATTTTAACAAAATACCCCAGGCTTCTTATTACAGAAGGGGCAGTTGTGAATTAAATCTTCGTGATTAGCAGCTGTCAGCTGTCAATGGGCTACATAGATTTGAAGATGCTTTATGGTCAGAAAAGACTGATAAAACTCTTGGACCAGAAAAGCCTTTAAGTTGATGTGGTTACACCCCTACCTGGCACTGAGTATAATTCATTGATAAATTTGAGATTCCTGCAAATGTGAATGTTTTTTGAATCATATAGCATCAGCATGAACTTTAACTTGCTGACTTATTTCATCAGTCAATAAATAAGTATATGTTAACATTATTTTCAAACTGATTAATTTTTTAAATCTAATTTTTAAGAACTTCATATATAAATATTTTAAATGTATCACTTATTTTCCTACTCCCTCACTCTTCAACTCCACCAATGTACTCTACTTCCAAATTCATATCTCGTCATCTTTAATTTTTAATATAAATATATAAACATACTATATATACATATATACTATATATACATATATAAATATATATAAACATATATAAATAAACACATGCATATATGCTCATATACATATGCTTTCAAACATACACATGCACATATACACACACACACACATGCATCACCTAAAGAGTCCATTTGATGTTGTTGATGTTGCCTGTATGTATATGTCCTGGAATGACTGCTTTTTATTGGACAAGCATTGTGGGAGTTTGTCCATAGAGGATATTAAGTCTTCCTTTCTTGAAAGCCATTCACCCCAGAAGTTGTTCATATAGTAGCAGGACTTCGTGTAGTTTCCTTGGTTCATGTTGTCAAGGCAGTAAGTATTGTCATTATGCACTCCTGTCCAGGAACTATATTGTTGGCAGCCCATGGGTGCATTTCCACTTATTTATACTGCACTGTCTAGCAACAGGCACACATTGGGTATTACAGACTTTTCTTCCTCCTCCTCTATAATATTCTCTGTGCCTTATGTGCAGAAGTTGCACTGCTGATATATTGATTAGGGTTAGATGCCCCGTGGACACTTGTTCATTTGAGCAGTTGTAGATCACTGTAGAAGTCTCTATCTGTTGCAAAAAGCTTATTTGAAGAGGAGAGAGAACAACACTAAGTATTTACAATACAGTTAGAAATTACATTAGTTTAGGGAAATGGCATTAGTAGGTTCTCCTCTAGAATCTGCAGATTCTCATGCTGCAAGTGGGAGAAATAACTTACAACCTAGACCGATGAACACCAGGAAATTCAACCTGATGCTCTCCTTTGGAGTCCCACCAGCAAGAGGGCTTTTCCCGGCTCTGTCTCCAAACTCCTTCCACAGGTCACTTCCGCCCATGGCTCCACCCCCCAATGGGTGTGGCCAGTGCCACAGAAGGACTATCTCACTACAAGGTGTGAGCTCCTTTTTATTTAGTCTGCCTTAAGTCTAGTTTCACATTTAAGCTGTTGGCTATACTAAAGATATAAGTAACACAGCACAGACATTATTATCATAGAAGAAAGGTTTATAAGTTTATTTTTGCTTTTTTGGTAAATCAGAAAAATCACAGAATTTTAGAACCAATGCATTTTGCTTACCAGTTCTTGTTCACTATTTCAGAGCTTCGAGAAACCAAGACCTCTGAATATTTCAGCCTGTCCCACCACCAGTTAGACTATAGGATATTACTAATGGATGAAGATCAAGACCGGATATATGTGGGGAGCAAAGACCACATCCTATCCTTGAATATCAACAATATCAGTCAAGAACCTTTGAGTGTAAGTTTGTCACTTCTATGAAGGAAGTCTTGACATTATGGGTATTGAGAAGAATTTAAATACATTGAAGATATTATATATTGGACCAGGAAAACAGAAAATACTAGACACATGGGCACATACACACACACACACACACACACACACACACACACACACACACACTCCAAAATTAATTTTTACCTCACAGCTGAAAAATATATTTAATCCAGTTACTCCCATTTGGTTTCACAAGTTTTCTTTTTATAATTTTTTTTTATTTAGAAGCAATCAAAGTTTTAAAATTCAATTTAAACTTTGAAAATTAATGGAAAAACACTCCTTTTATACTCATCTAATCAAAAGAAAAAGGAGTGAGTTGGGGAAAGTTTACTGTGAAAATACTGGTTAGAAAAGGAAGAAGAACCATGTCTTCTATGTGTAATCCACAGAGTGTATTGGAATAAGCATTACTATATTTACCATTCTTTTACATAAGGAAGCAAAACTAAGCATCAATGAAGTAAAAGTAAAACTGTGTTGATAATAAATTTATTATAAACAGGACACTTTGCATTTTTTATATTAAAGGCTGATGACTCAAAATGTATTCTCCTCTGCCAGCTATGACCTGAAACAGCAGTGATTTAGAATGCCAGTATGGTGTTTCAGAGACTGGTGTCATTTCATGTGTTAATTGTTGAGGTAAATGGAGGCCCACTTTACTTAAATCTGTCAGTCTGGCTTTGTTGTTTACTGAAGGTAAAATATTCAGCTAAGATAGACACATTAACATAATTCATAATGGTATAAACAGGTGGTAAAAGTAGAAGTCCAAAGGGCAAAATGTGCATTGTATTTTGCACAATTATATATATATATTATATATATATATATGTATATATGTATATATACATATATACTCTTTATTTAAATACACAATTATAAATTTTCGAATGTTATGGAATAGGTTTTGTAAAAGAAAAAAGAACTGATTGGATGAGCAAACAGTAAGTGGTATAACAGCATAATAGCCCAATAATTTAAATTCAGTAAGTAAAAAGGGAATTTTGAAAACAAAAACAATAACACCTTGAAGAAATCAGGTAGTCAAAAGCAAATGAAGGATGCTGGGTTGATGTGTGCCTAAATGAGACTGTACAAACTTTATCTTTCTTTCTGAGCAGGTTTTCTGGCCAGCATCAACAATCAAAGTTGAAGAGTGCAAAATGGCTGGGAAGGATCCTACAGTAAGTAGATGAAGAGCATGCACACACGTATACACAGAACACTACTTATACACACTATATACATACAAATGCACCCCCCCACACATTCATATTACATACTCATACACAGTCATATACACACATCAATACATGTATATCACCCACACTACATATCCATACACACAAACATCACACACCCACACACCCCTACACACACCCACACACACACGCACCAACTACTTAATCTTCAATTGTATGTAGCTTGAGAGCTGACTGGAGTTAATGGCACTGGAGATCTTTGGCTGGACAGATATTGAAGATGTAAATGTAATGGGACAGGGATCCTTGGACCATCTGTTACCTTAGAATTCCTACTGGTTAAACTTTCCTGCCTTGCTTTCATTATTTAATGCAGACACTTTTCATGGTTGATTTCACCAATAAACCTTGTTCCGAATGGCTTCAACCTGTACAATTCACAGCAGGCTGGTGCAGTGACAATAATGTGAATGTCTGGAATAACTCCCAGATATGATGAGAACTATTCCTGAGATTCCTGGTGGAAAAATAGCCATGAGTCTGCACATTCCAGATAAAGAAGTCAGCAGTGTTGAGTGGTACATTTATTAATTAAAATATCACACACTAAAATCAAAACAGATATACATAGTCAAGTGTGAAGTGAGCACTTGTACAAATTGGAGTCCATTAAATGGACTTCAATGGAAAGAGGTGAGCAAGGAACCTGCATTGATTTCTAGAATGACTTTCTGTTCTTGACATTAAATTATCCTTGACTATGACATAAGAAATGCAATGGTTGTGATGAACACAACCATGCGCGCACACACACACACACACACCAGTGACTTTTTGGTTCAAATAATAAAGAAAAATATAATGGAATTAAGCATCAAAAATATGCACTGTCACAAAAAATTTGGTAAAAGAATCCTCTGTTCATTTATTCTTTCTCTCACTTATTCACTCGATAAAGAACATTAAAAACCAAATGTATATATAAAATAATTCTAGTTACTAAAGATGTGATTTGTGTGGGCAGACTTGATTTTGCTTTTCTTAACCATATATCATTGAAAAAAACTAACCTGTTGAAAGGAAATTTTTCAGTATGACTGTCTCTCAAGACAGTCTCAGATATAAACTTCCATAGAGGCTAGAGAAAAGCATACCAACAGAAGGCTAGAAATGCAGTTGTCAACCTGTGGTTTATGACCCCTTTGGGGGATCAACAATCCTTCACTGTAAGGAGTAGGTTTTTCCTCCAGGAGGGTCCCCTTAATGCCGCTGGAAAATACAGATATTCACATCTCAATTCATAACAGTAGCAAAATTATGGTTATGGGGTAGTAATGAAAGTAATTTTATGGTTGGGGTCACTACAGAGGAACTGAATTAAAGGGTCATAGAATTGGGAAGGTTGAAAACCACTACTATAGAAAGAAAGATCTCTGTATATTTTTCCACAAGTGTTAATGGAAACCATTACCAGGAGTGACTCAGTTCTAAGTCTTACAGTTTTAATTTTATATTTCATTCCATTAACAGAACTTAAGAGGGAGAAAAAAATGGCAATGCATCATTATAATCTAAAAGAAATCTACTGGATGGATATCCAGGAAAAAATTTACAGTTTGATGGCCTTCTAGGGAGAAAAACATTATGTGGTGCAGTGCTATACAGGGCGTGAATTGAAAATTACTCCTTCATTTCCTAATGAAGACATTTCCCACTGATGCATGTCTGATTGTGTTACCTTTTACCACAATCCTATCCCATGATGATATTACTGAGTTTCCTGATGCTTTGTTCTGGAAGGTCTAGATTTCTAATTCTCAGCTGCTACAGAAAGAGTATGTAGACTGTAGATACATTTGCATATTCACTTTCCAAAAATGATCCCAATACTTCTGAAGTGTCTAGCCACATCAGTTGACCCCTTTCTCCTTTTGGTGAAACAGAAACCTATTGTTATTTGCATTGTGATACTTAAAACATATTTGATAAAAGCTTTAGAATATACTTATATTTCCCCATAATTTTACTATGCTGTATATATCAAGCATGGGTGTTGTTAATTCTTCTGTATGGCCAATAGCTACACATTTGAGAAGTCATCTAGAAGAAATATATATATGTATAGACATACATACATACATACACACACACACATGACTTAATGACTTAATGGGGCAGGTTTTGCTTTTCCAGATAAATATGTTGAGTTCTGGGAAATAATAATCTATGAAATGCTTTTAACTACATATTTATCTGTTTAGAGGGAGACTACGTAACAAATGCATCTCATGTCCTACATGTGCAGGCCTTACAGAGACCTCCTGTTAATCTGACTTAAAGAGAAAAGTCCAGTGGAAACACACCAATGAAAATGGATATTAGAATGTTCTTTAGATAATGTATTTTATTTTACTTTACATTGACACCAAGTGTTTGCAAATGTCTTCACACTGTTGAAGTAGTTGCCATCCAATAACATAATATTTCACATTTAAGACACATGCATTGTCTAGTTCGTTGAAAGTTTCACAGGTTTTGATTGTATTCATCCTCTTTTCATAGTTCTTCCCCAATTCACCCCTATTGAGTTTTTAAAGGTTGTGTAAACCAGTGTCTGTGAAGAACATATATGTTAATGAGGTCAAGGCAGTATATGTAAGTGGCTCTCCAGTACATGAGGATGATGAGACATATGTGTAACAATTATGAGAAGCAGGACTCAAATATAATGGAATGAAAAAGTCTCTGTTCTAAGTGTTCCATACTAATCTTGAAAGCCACAGACTTATGCCAGCTAGAAATTGGAAACAGCCATGATTTAAAGATTAAGAAACAGAATGAGTAAGGAGAATGAAAAATGTGTTCCGAGTTTTACAGCTGTGAGTGGGATGGCCTTTGTCTGGTGGAGGACAGTGGCCCCACATCCTGACCTCCAGTGCAGAATTGCATGCCTTCCCAGGAGAGAAGTGGGGTTAGGGAGACAAGGCAAAGGGCAGTGGTGGGGCTGGGATATTTTGCAAAGCACAGTTTTATAGGTTTGGCAGAAACCACATTAGCTAAATCTGCTAACGTTACCCATGTTTTATGTCAACCATAGGAAGTTTCGCTTTAGTTGAACCCCTTTCCCTCTCCCCCTCCCCAATCCTTTTGGTTTATGCTGCATCTGAGTATCAACTCTGATTACTCTGCAGCTTTGACTTTTTAACCATCTTCAGATCCTTTCTAGTTATGATACACTGGCTGCTTCTCTGGGAACTCCTCTACCTCCACCACCACTCCCACCCCCACCCCCGCAGTCCTGGGTTGCTGCTCCTCCTCCATGTGCTCCTGAAACACCTTACCGCTTACCACAGCAGTTCTTACTTGTATGTCTCTCTGCACTAATTGGAAACACTGTGTGGCAAATGTCATTATCCACTATGCCAGGATCCATATCTAGAAACTTCATCAAATTTAAATGAGTTCTGAATTAATAGCAAGGAAAGCAATTAAACAAGGGAATCAGTTCAAAGTATTTATTAGGTATGGGCAATATGACATGGTAGATGAAGAGTTTGCTGGGGCTCTTAGATTAACAGTGTCTACAGCAAATATGTGTATTTCAGAAAAATATCTTGTTATTCTTTTTCTTTTAAATGCATTTATCATCTCTTAAGTAAAGCAGAAGGAGGAAGAAAAAATATAGTCATAATAGGAGAAAGAAACCAAAATTTTTATTTCAGAAATTTCATTTGTAGAATCAACAGCAATTGTAAATAAACTCATTTTTTTTTAAAATAGGGGACAGGAATATATCTAGTCCATGAGTGCATGCCTAGCATGGAAGCCATCCTATGTTTCTAGACACAACACCATGTAAGCCCAGCATGATGGTACCCACCCTTAATCCCTGCCCTTGGATCAGAGGCACAAAATTATCAACAAGAGTAGCTGAAGGCCTACCAGGATTATAGGAGACACTTACCCAAGACAAAGGACAGGAGAGTCAAATCCAGCAGAATTTTAAATGTTATACATTTACTACAGTAATTATTTGTATTGAGAATAAATTATTATGTTGGTAATGCAGCATTTTCTACTCAATTAATGAGAACACAAGCTACTTTATTCTAATCCTTTAGCTGTCAGAAGTTAACTCTATAAAGTAATGGCATAGTTTTATTTAATCATACAATTTGAAGACCTGGGCACAGTGCTGGGACTGGTTCAGTATAGATGATGGCCTTCTCATTGGTCAAGGATGGAAGACACTTTTAATTATATGACAAGAACCAGTATAAAGATATCTGGTGTTCTGGTCTAGCTCTAAAATACCCCTTACAAGCTTCTGTTTTGGATGGCTTACTCTTCATTTTGTGGCACTATTTTGAAAGTTTGATGCTTTTAGGAGGTGAGCCCATGTGACATAATAGGTCACCAGAGACTTACCTTTGAAAATTGTACCCATCTTTGGTTCTAGACTTCTCTGTCTGATTCCTTGTCATTGCCTTTAAATGCTTGCTACTACAAGTTCCCACCACCACAGAGTTATTCTGCCATGATGGACTAAAATCCCCATATACATACATACATACATACATACATACATACATACATACATACATGCATACATACATCCCACAAAGTTTGGGAATCTCTTGGACAACCCTGACCAACAACTCATGCAAATAGGGAAATGCTCTTGAGAGCACAACCCCAGCCAAAGAACACACCAAATAATTATCAAATATCAAATGGTCATCCTGAAAACACATGCATACAAGTAAACACACACACACACACACATTCACAACAACAATTTTAAGAAATCCATGAATTTGAAAGAGTGAAGGCAGAGGTATATAAAAAGTATTAGAGGAAAAAGGAAATTGTGTAAGTATAATTTCAAAAAAAGTGAAAAGACATCTTGGTATTTATTTCTATTAATGTCCCAAATACAAAATATTTTACACATTAGTATTATGAACAGGACTAGTACTAACCTGTGAAGGACAGATGGCCTGCCCAAATCAAACTGTTCCTATTGCTTTATTAACATTGTTCAAAAGAAATGTTATTGCTGCTATTTTACTGATGTGAAAATTAAGTCACAGTAAACCTATAGAACTGACTTAATAACATGTAGAAAAGCTGATGGCAAAGTTTGAATCCAGGTCACTTGGGTCTATGAACTGCACATTTGATTACTTGTTTCAATTCATGACTTTCCTGGCTACATTAAGACAATGGCATTATGACAGACCAACTCCAGTTGCCTCCCGTTTTGTGACACAGGAATCTATATTACACTCACCGCTCTAGAAAATTCACTTCAAAAAAAAAATCCCACTAACTCATGTACTTGTTTTCCTTTTTACTTTGTATTTATTTTCAATTATGTGTATGCGTGTATATCAATGTGTGCATATGAGTATAACTCCCTGCACAAGTCAAAAGAAGATGTCCAAGAGATTGAAGCTGGAACTATACATGTTGTGAGCCACTCAGTGCAGGTGCTGGGAACAAAATTCAAGTCTTCTAGAAAAGCCATGATGCTGTTTGCAAACCACCTCACCTGTATTTGTTTGTTGACTATGCAGTTTTTATTGAGAAAGTTGTCCAGGTGATGAAGTGTTGCTAACCCTAGATACAGTGCCTTAACAAACATTTACTGAAGGGAATTTACACAACAATTTAGCTCAGAAATAATAAGGCCAGAAACTGATGTTCTGCAGTGGAAAAGCAGAGCTAAAAGATGCTGGTTGGCCATGATTAACTCAACTGTTCAGTATCACTTTTTTGTATCTATGAAAGAAGAGGCAGAAGATGCACTGAGTAAAACAGGTAGGAATTTGTAGTGCTATTAAAAACCCTACAGAAAATCTGAACAATGGTAGTGAACAAAATTTCAGTCTGAGGTTAAGAAACTCTTATTTAGTCTCCTTTGGAGATAAACTTTCTCATTACTACCCTGAAATTCAGCTACTTAATTGGAACATTGCTAGGAGAGTTAAGGCAAACTAGACATATGGATGGAGAGGTCTAAAAGCCTTACAAATGTAAGAATACTGTTTGTATAAGTATTAATTACTGAAAAGAAAAGTGTGGATTCTTAATGCCCTGGTATATGATTACATACAGAAAAGTATGGATTAATTATTATACATGTGTTTGGAAATCTTCTGATAGTAGCTGCCTATGTAAATGTAGGCAAATTAAAAACAAAAAAGAGACTCAAGGTTTATTTTTCTGAAGGAAATTGAGTTTCAAATCAACAAAATTATAAATTCATATAAAGACATTAAGAAACATATACTGAGTATTCAGCACCTATCAGTTATAAAGTTAAACATGGAGCATCCTGGGAGTTTTTATTGGTGAAATATATAAAATAGTTACCTCTATGTCTTCTATTACATGAATAACAAAATGATTATAATAAATGGACATATACAGACATTTGAAATGATGTAGTTTTATCTCAAATATGAAAATATGTTGTTGCCTTTTCCCTTTTACTTATAGCCACAATTTATCAGAGTAATTTGTCTACAGAGCCCAACATAAGGCAGATGTAAGATTTCCTTTCCTAATTTGCATTGAATTCATGTTTTCTTAGAAGGTGATCAGCACATACTTCCAGAATGGCTGACCATGAATGTGAAAAACAATAAGCATTAGTGTCTTTGCTCACAAATCTTAACATAGATATGTTATATACGCAACACTCTTCAGTTTTGTAGTATCTGCAGGATATTATGTTATCGTGTCTAGCTATATAATACATCTCTTGGTACCACTAGAAACTGGTATCAAGATACAACACAGTATTTTTACAAAGATTATTATTGTCTTAACATAAAAATAAAGTGCATAGTCTGGGCTTTAAGGACTAATTTCTTTGACATTAGAATTAAAGATTAATAACAGTGCATAGTAGAATATCTGCTTAAATTTCCAACCACAAAAAGAAATATACACTTGCTGTCAAGTAAAATGAATATCAAACAAAAATGATGGAATATTTAAAACAATATAATTTTCTAAGTCAAGTTAGCTCCCGTTGTTTGTACATTGCTTTGTTCTACTTTATAATAACATAAATACTAGATATACACATACCTAGAAACCATGATAAAGAGACTTTTATTATAGACTATCCATGGAGACACTACTATTAAATTTGATATATTTTATAGTCTTTATTAAATAAATTACAACTCAAATGATAAAATTGTTTTCAATAAAATTCTTTGAGAGAAAATGACTTTATAAGGGGACATCATTCTGTCTCTGGCTTGATTAATTTATAATCAACAAAAGTAATGAGCATATCAGCGGTGGAGTTTGGGATGATTAATTTGGCCACAGGGAACTTACAAACTCCTGCAAGGTCACAGTTAATTTAGAAGTACAGCAATGACAGCCTTGGCTATTTAGTTTAACTGGAGCCTAGTGAAAAACAGGTTTGAGAAAAATGAAAAACGTATTTTCTTGGGATTTTGGTTAGAGAAAATTGTTCTACCATTCTTCACAGAAGCAGCAGCTATTCAGATGTTCTGAGGTGAATTTAATTTCTCAGTTGGATAGGGTAGCCGTGGTTACCATGGTGAGCTTATGATAACATGTTTGTAATGTGTGTATGTGTGTGAGAGAGAGATAGAGAGAGAGAGACAGAGAGAGAGAGAGAGAGAGATTTTAAGGGAAAACAAGAGCAGCAAGTAGTGGCATGTCTTCATTAGATTTTTGCATTTATTTGTCTGATTTGTTGTGTGTATGTATTTGTGTGAGCATGTGCAAACAGAAGTGGTGGACTGAGAACAAGTTTGCAGAGGTGTTTTCTTCTTTAACACCGTAGGTTCTGGGGATGAAACTGCTCTTCAGGCTTGGTGTCAAGCAACCTTAACTGTTGATCCACCTTGCTGAGTGTCCTCTGTATGCCTGCATTTCTGAACTGGATCACGTAAAAGATTAAGCTTGTAAAACAAACACTAAACTCTAGAGCATGAAAACTTAAACAGGATTGGCTTGGATGGTAGCTAAACAGTTAAAGTACTTACAACTCATACAGCATGTGTGAGAACCAGAGTTCAAATCCAGAGAAACCACATGAAATGCTATGCTGAGTGGAGTTAAAGCCTGGCCACCTATCATTCTGGTACTCAGATGGTGACATAACCTCCCAGATGATCCAGCCAGCTTATGCAGATCAGGGAATTCTCAGATCTATTGAGGAGCTCTGACTCTCTGGATAATGGAAGAACCCTGACATCACTATCAAGTCTCCATACACAAGCACACACGTGTGAACATGCACAAACACAACCACAAGCCTACACATACACATGAAAATTAAACAAAAACTCAAAACAGCATATGAAGCATTCCAATAACAGAGGAAGTAATTTTAATTGATTCATAAGGTTGGCTGCTTATTCCCAAGACAAATGATTGAGATAAACCAAGTTATTCTCTTATTGTATCTTATTGTAAAGATAGAAAGAAAATGTACAGATGACCATGTCTACATCAAATGTATGGATGTGTCTAGAGCATTTTCATACAAAATCATAGAATGACAAGAGATTAAATGGAAACAGCAGTGTTTATTTTATTAAACTCTGTGAGAATAGAAGGTTTTGTCTGTTTTGTTCACTAAAAACGCCCCTTTTGAATTCTGAAATCACCTGGCTTATATTTGGCAAATCTCAGGTGAGGTACTCTTTCGGTAACAGGGTTGTAACTAATGCTGAGTAGCCAAATTTCAACCTTTGACTTCTTATTTCTGTAAGTTAAATAAGTGTTTCCGGGTGCCATTTACACGTTACTGTTTCTCCAAGACATGGACAAGAGCAGGTGCCACACCACATCCCAGGTTAACAGAGCAGCTGCAGGTGTAATAGAACATAGGGCATGGCCTCACTAACTGTTGTTTGCTTTTGCCAGCACGGCTGTGGGAATTTCGTCCGAGTTATTCAGACCTTCAACCGCACTCACCTGTATGTCTGTGGAAGTGGAGCCTACAGCCCAGTGTGCACTTACCTAAACAGGGGAAGGAGGTCCGAGGTCAGTCTGGCCCTTTAAATGTCTTCATTTGGATGTTAGGGTCTGAAATTCGATGGTATTTCAGAGTTAAAAAATAGGGAATTTAATGTCAGTAAAATATTTTTGTGCTTTTACAAACATATAAATATATTTCATTTTGACTTTGACTGACAAGGCAAGCCAAGTTGCACTATTTTGGCGCATATATATAATTTAAATTTGAAACAAGCTTGTTTTGCATGTCAGTCCCAGTTCCCACACCCTCCATTGCTCCCCTGTTCCTGCCACCAACCACCATCCCATCTCCTTTCTGCTCCCCAGGGAGGGTGAGGCCTTCCATGGGGAGTCTTCAAAGTCTGGTCTGTCATATCTGTATATCTGTTTACTTGTTTCTCAGCATAATTGTAAAATAAAGGAGAACTAAATTTATAATTGTATTAAATATAAAGCACTAAACTAAAAAAACAACATTTGTTATTTTTTCGAGACAGGATTTCTCTGTGTCTTTAGAGCCTGTCCTGGGACTAGCTCAGTAGACCAGGCTGACCTTGAATTCACACAGATCCACCTGCCTCTGCCTCCCAAGTGCTGGGATTAAACCGTGTGTCACCAGCGCCCTTACTTGTTTTCATAATATGTATTCATTCGTAGGAATGCTTGAATTTCAGTATACACTATGAGTATATACTTTAAAATTCGTTTAAAGCAGGATATGAAATGTTTGGTTGAAAAATAACTTAGAAATTGACAAACCATGCTTTCATTTAATACTAGCATTACCCTGTGCTAGTACATTCTCACCTTATTCTTTTATTGCTTAAAGTGGTAGGAGTTGTTATGGAATGATGTTAGCTAAATATTAGTCATATAGTCAGCTAATACACAGTTAAACATAGGCTGGCTTGGTATGAACTGTGATATCAAAGGCTTCCCTTTTATCCCAGCTGCTATCACTAATGTTGTGCAGACAACCTAAGGAGCTTCCATTCTTTCAATCATCTGAATTATTTCACCTAATGTGTTCATTTCAGGAACTAAATTATTTGAAACTACAATTTATTTGTTATTTAACTTAAATTTAGAAAGTTCAGGTCTTTGGTCATGTCTTGATTTGTTTTATAAGATCAGAGTTATGGGGAAACACACTAATATCGCTATTAATATTCTTTACAGAGTTATTTTTCTTGAGTAACAACCAATATACTTTACTGATAATGCAGTTGGACAAAGATTCCTCTGTACTCCATTTTAATGAATTGTGTTTTAGGCATTTAATTTATATGTGCACATATATAGTTAGATGAATAAAATATCATCAAAAATGAACTAAATATCATTGAACCTCATATTTTTTTCTAATGAAGCTCAAAATGCTACTAAAATATTAATATTATTAAAGGAAAATTTAGGTTTTTTGGGGGGGAGAATGTCATTGGGTGCACTGAACTGAGCATTAGAGCCACATGCCTGTGATCAACTGATTAAATAAACTAATACTGTGGATATTTGAAATCTTCCAGGCACAGCCATGAAGTTCATAATATCACTGTGTGGGTCAATGATAACATAGAAGTTTTCAGAACATATATTTCAAGTAAAATTGTTTGCCCATTTAAAAGTTGCCTGATATTGTCTTCAAACCCTTGAGTAGAAAGTCTGTCTAAAAATAATCTCCTTTGAAAAACTAACATGAAATAATTATAAACCCCTTAAGAAACTGGAACCACACTAGTCTCACTTAAAGAGATGTGTTTCACAGGCATAAGGCATTCCCATTATTTCAGTCTTTTAATAAAATATAGAAATCTTACTAAGAAATTCAAATAGGAAGGAGTTTTATCTTTGTCTTGATAATCAATCTATGTCAAAGAATTTAAGGATGGCATTATGTTAGACATCTTCAGCATATAAAACACACTGCAAACGTGTTCAATTCTCTTTAGTCCAAAACAAAGGCTACACTAGCATGAAATGAATATGTTATGCAAATGTTTTCTTTCGAGAGAATCTTCTACTTTTATCACGAAATTTGCACTTTTAATGACTAGAGCATAGGTTCACTGCTATAGTATTTCAACTATATAAAAAGTCTTAGCATTTTCCTACATTTAAAACCAATTTAAATATGAGCCAGTTAGATTGACATAACTTTTAATGCTTAATTTTGAGACATTATCTCAGTTTCAACCACCTATCTTCACAGAAATTCATTGGTTGTCAGATACTATTTTGTGAGCATATTTCATGTGTGAGTGCCAGGCACCTCGTGAACCCTGACCACTCTTCCATTACTGTGTGAGTCTGGGTTAATGCACTACCAGATCGATAAAAAACAAACCTTCCAGTTAAATCAAAATCCAACCTCTTCTCTTCTGTATTCCATCTTATACCTGTTAACTTCTGTTCCTGGTAAAGAACAGAATAGCATCAGGAATGTATGATTCTCAGGAATAAAGAATCCATCAGGCAAAGGCACTTTGGTAGTGTTACTATAAGCTCTGGAAAGGTTATCAAATCCATCTGTGATTAGTCACATCAGCTGTTTTTATATCAACCTACCCTACAACTCCAAGATATGTAAAATGTAAGTCTTGATACGTCACTTATCATCAGATGCCTTTACCATTGATGGGTAATCATTTTCATAGATGACTCTGAACACTCACATGATTCCCATGCTTCCCAAAGCAAAATCCCCATCAAAGTACTCCATTCCAGCTGCCTTTTGTAGCTTTTCTCTTCTTTCAAAAGGAAAAAAAATATGTTTGTTGTCAATATCTGAACCAGAGCCACCCACCACCTGTTTCCTCTGGTCCATCGTTGCTCTGCATTCACTTTGATTCCAATTCCAAGAGAATTGTTTCTTTCTCTTAAAGTTGTCTCAGTTTTCTAAGTTTTCAAGTTTCAGTTCCTCTTACTCTGGTAAACAAGCTCTTCAGAAAAGTAGCTTTGCCTAACAGCTTTCATTCCCATTTTCCATGACTTTATTAAATATTTTAAACATAACTTTTATTTCACACAGTAACTCAAACTGATAAATGACCACAATGATGCTCAATTGCTGTTCTAGTCACTGTGACTCCACCCATAATCTAATGTCAGCAATTGTACACTTCCAGCATTGTTCATTCTGGTCAAGTATGCTTTGGCGAGTCAGGACTTCTGTGTTGCTATGTGAATTTTAAGTTCATTGGAATTTCGATTTTATTGAATTTGTGGATCACTTTCAGATATAAAGCCATTTAAATGTTGTTGATTCTGCTATTCCAAAGGCACAAGAGGTCTTTCCATTTTCTAGTCTTTGTCAAGTTGTCTCAGTATCCTAGACTTCATTGGAGAGATTGTTCGCCTCCAGAGTTAAGCTTATCCTCTAGGTATATTTTAAACTTCTGTGACTGGGATATTTCTCTAATTCAGTTATCTACAAGTTTGATATCTGTATGTAGAAAAAAATACTAGTGAAGACATGATGAAAATTGAGTCCTACTCACTGCTGATGAGAATGTAAACTTGCATGGCCACTTAGGGATTTCCCCATGGGTAGCTGTACTTTTTAGTCTTCTTAAAAGAAGAGCTACCTGTGATCCACCTGTTCCACTTCCCAAGGACTCTGTCTTGGTTTGTTTTTTGTTGCTGTGAAATATTACTTTACCAAAGTGACTTTTATGTACAAAGGGTTTTGTTAGAAAAGTCGCAGCAGCAGTACCTTGAATCAGCTAGTTTGAAATCAAAGAGAGTCAAATGACTGTGTTTCATCTCACATGCAGATCATAGAGTTTAAACTGTGTGTCAGGGGCAAGGTGAGCCTTGAAATGAAAACAGATTATGAGAGGGAAAAGAGACATCGATGGTAATGGGATACCTGAGTCAAGAAAGCAGGAGGGGAAGAGAGTGTCCCATGGGTTGAGGGACACGGAATCAGGTGAATTGAGTCAGAGGATGATTAACAAAGTATGTATGGAAATGCCATAATAAAATTCATTCAAAAGTAACTAATTTGAAACTATTGAATCTAATACTGTAAAGTAAAAAGGAAAATTACAAAAAAGATGACGAGAGTATCATGGTCTGGGAAAGAGTAGGGCTGAGTTCTTAGGAAATTAGTTGAAGAGTCATATTTCTGCTTGAAATAGATTATTAATATTTCACCACATGTTTCCCAGTGTTGACTATAACAAGACTGTAATTAAGATCACGTGGAGATGAGAAGGCTAAGTAATGGAGAAGTGGGCCATTAGAGAACACCTGGTACCTATTTCATCAACTCCTCTGGTGCCAACACTAGCTTACCAAGGGAAATATGTTCCTGGCTCTAGGACCACAACCAAGATTATTAAATTTTCTTGTTTTCTTTCATCTTTGTAGTTATTTTCTTTGGAAAGCAGATGTGCTAGGTGTCAGGAGGCTGAATTTGGATTCTGTTTTGAGCTCCACTAGGCTATGATTTCTTTGCTGATATACTCCACTACATCAGACTTCATCTATCAAAAACAGACTACTTTCATTTTTTTCAAGTAAACAAAACTTTTGAATGCATTTCTTCTCTATTGAATCATGGCCATTTCTCACTAAACTCTAAACTCTGATCATCACCAGATAAATTCTATTATACTGTAGTTGCTTTCACCATAAACCCTTGAGATCACAGGTCAGATGATTATTAGGTAGTACCCATACCTTTCAATATTAAAATATGATTATAATATGTTCCTCTTCCTCTCCTCCATGATACTCCTCCCATGAGCACCTCTACCACAGGCTCTCAATGTTATGGACTCCTCTTCTTTAGCCATTGTTTTTTCAAATACATATAATTATAAAAAACATAAATACAACTTGCTCAGCCCCTTCAATGTTGCTTGTGTGTATGTGGGTTCTTGGGCTTCCTACTTGGTATTAGATAAGCAATCAGGGGATCTCTTCCTAAGGAAAAACACATTCTCCCTTTCTCGGGAGCTGTTAATCAATGTTAATCTTCATTTAAGTGTGAGGCCCTGTGAAATTTATCTTATGTATATTGGGATGGCAACTCTTATTAGAAATTTTCATATATTGTTTAGGCAGTCATGTTGGAGATATTTGATGGGTAGAGTTTGTCTATCATAGCAAGGAGGCACAGTAATATAAAAAACCTCCAAGTTTTCTGGCTTATAATCTTTCTTCCTCCCTTTTAAATAATAGTTATTCAGGAGTTATATTATAGATGTATCAGCTAAGACTAGGAAGCCCATGGTCAATTGCTGTCTGTATTTTTGTGAGTAATTGTGACTTTCTGTAATGATCTTCTACTGCAAACAGTTGCTTTTTTGATGAGGGGTGAATGCTACTCTTGTATTTAGAATAGTAATTACACTAAAGTATACTAAAGTAAAATGGTTGCCATAGACTCTCCTATAAAAGTCTATGACCATACTAGCCATGTGTAGTTGTATAGGTATAATGCTAGGCATGACTTCCCTCTGGTTAAGATGGCTAACATTGAGTCCAACTAGACAGCTCTTGATTACCTCAAATACATTAAGTGCCACTATTTGACTTTTAGGGATATCTTGTCATAATAGTCATTATTATGGTTCATGGGAATTACAACTGCATAGGGCTGATAATTTATTTCCTGTCTTAGAAGTATGCACATCACTTTCTGATACTATGAAAGCAAGTTCTCAGGGAGAAGGCTTTTGTGTCAGTTAAGCGTGTTCTATCTTCTACAATAAAGACGTATCTCCAACTTCTCAGGGGCAACTAGGAGCAATATCAAGAGTCTATGTAGTTGGGGGAATCTCTTGCACCCTCCTAACCAGTGGCTAAAAAGAATGTTTCTAGTGCCAGTTACTGGGGTATTTCTTAGTCTATGACTCTTTTGGTAGCATTATCATCCCAAGAGGAATACATTTATTTAATCTCTCTTTCTCTCACTATCTTTCTCTATATAAGTATATAAATATATACACACACATATATATGTATATATATATGTATGTATATATATATATAGTTTTAATAAAAGCAGCCCATTTTCTTGAGTCAAGCACCTTATTTTATGTATCCCTTCCCAAAACTTCCTAAAGCAGAAGTATATTCAATCATTTTTGGAGCAGAGTTCTGGTCATTTTATCTCTACATTAAGAATAAAATGAAACTATATTTATTCAGGATAGTTTTCAAAAACTTTAACCTGATAATTGCAATTCTCCATCATCTGATGTAAACCATAAAAGTGTTCATTTTTGCCCTTGTGATTTAGTAATAATAGTTCCTAGTAAGTTGCTATATGAAAAATGCTAGTAGCTCTATTTATAAAATCATTCCCTTAGTACTGCTCTCTGAGCACCAGTTCAGCACAACTGAATTTGCTACCTCATAATCTCCAGTCATTCCTATTCCATCTCTCTGTACACATTTCTATTATGCATTGAGCAGAGTTTTACATAACTGACGTTTGCATTTTGTCCTCTTTAGTTTTCATCTTTTTTATTAGATATAAATTACTCAATACCCAAGCTTTCTGTAATCTTGCTTTTTTTCCCTGTAGTTTTGTTTATCATCAGGGTTTAATTAATCTTCAAGTATTCAGCAGATGACCATTTTTTTTAAAGACAAGGTTTCTCTATATTGTTTTGGAGCCTGTCCTGGAACTAGCTCTGTAGACCAGACTGGCTTCGAACTCACAAAGATCTGCCTGCCTCTTACTCCCAAGTGGAACAGATGATATTTAATATATGTTATTTTAAATATTTTACAATATATTACACAAAAATTAACTAGTAACATAGAATTTTAGTTTTTAAAGTCTCCTTTTAGAAGAATTGTAACAATTGCATACATATGCATAATGATTTTAGATTTTCAAGTAACTTTTGATGATGTTGATTTAAGGAGAACTCATTATTGGATCCATTCTTGGGGCTCTTAAATGGAATAAAAGTTAGCCCTGCTAATGTTAGAGCCTAATTACAGATGGATTCTTCTTACAGGACAACTGACTTTTACTATATATATTAGAGAGACAGGAGTGGAAAGTATTTATGAAGATGTCTTTTTTAAGAAATAATAAGCATTTAAAATAAATTAGAAATAATTATATTTAATTGTACTTATTATGCTGTATCATTATCATCTGATACCTTTTTCTGCTACAAAGGACCAAGTTTTCATGATTGACTCGAAGTGTGAATCTGGAAAAGGACGATGCTCATTCAATCCCAATGTGAACACTGTGTCTGTTATGATCAGTAAGTAGAAAGTGAAAGAGGGCGGGTGGTCTAAATAACAAAGAGCCTACACAGTTTACAAATAAGTTAATGTAATAATAAATTTTAGAGATGCTCATCAAATCATGAGTCTATACAAATATGTACTAGCTTTCATTTCCAAAGGGTTATAACACTAAAATTACCTCTCATAGTTTGTGTGGGTAACTGTGTTTTAAGGGTTTGCCATTTCTATTTGATCACTGATAATACAGATGTATGAGATACTTCTATCCATTAAGTGCTGAGAAACATTATGAATTAGGAGTCAGTATTTTGCAACACAGTTGCACCACCTAAACTACTGGAAAATCCAATGGTCACTTGCTATTTAGGGGACTTAGTGTAGGACTACAAAGAAATTGGATGTTACCTTTTAAAGAACTTCTCACATAATTCCTGAAGCTCTTGGAGTGAGTACAATTAGAAAGCACAATATTTTTTGAGTAAAGTTAAAATGTACAAGTTTATATATGCATAAAACTCCACAAATAAATTCTGAATACTTTCTTAAAATTCTTCCCAAAGTATTATTATTTAAGAATTTATTACTTATACAAAATGAAACAAGAATTTTCCTATCTGCTGTTAGAAGCACTGAGAATATGGAGCAAGAAATGAAATAAGTTTGATATGCACGCTTTTGTAAGGTATAAACTGTAATAGGTTTGTGGTATGCAATGGAGTTAATCAGCTCTAAGCCAACCTGAGTATCTTACTAGTCCCCCATGTAAGTAAATATAAGTAAGAGCTGTGCTCATCAATGATATTGAGCAGTGGGGATTTATAATCGGTGAGCTAGAACAACATGGTGAATACTTATGTGTTATATTGATTTAGTAGCCAAATCTATGCATGTATATACACAACAGCTATTTAAGCAAATGTTTAAACAGCTGTACTGTTTAATATGTCTCATTCTTATCGTTGTTATTACCCTCTAAAATGTTGCCATGGGCTTTGTGTCCTTCCTGGGAGGGATAAACTGATGACAAGATGCTTGCCATACCAACTTCTTAACTGGTAGGGATCTAGTTCAAAACGTGATGAGCTCATTTTAGAAGTACTTCATTTTGCAGCTGCCCTGTCAAACAGGAATTATTATGTATGGCCATAGGTTTAGTGAGGATAGGTACATACATACAGGTTAATAAGTAACTAAATCAGGCCACTTATGACAAATTAGACAACTTATTAATTTTTGATATAGTTTTTCTTGTCAACTTATCTTTTACAATAGGTTACTGCTGAAAAAGTTAGCTGTGTTTATGTTATTAAGAAGCTTGTAGCTCTAAAGATCAAAATGTAGAATTTGAATGATTAGTTTGCTCATCAATGACATTTTTTACAACATTAATGTAGTGTCTATGTAATCTAGTAATAAAAATAATAAAATTATTCTGTCCACCATATCAAGTAGGATCTTACAAGTTTAATATGTGATGAGTGTTATTAGGCAGTAGCTCATTTCTTATAGTTTAGAAATGAAAATATTAAGATTCAGTGTTTTCAATGACATCACCCTTAAACCATGTTTATTGCTTGCTTGCTAAAATTAGAACAAGTAGTTCTTGGAGTTGGTTTTATAACCACAGAATCATCACAATAAGAGCATATTAAAATTAGTCCTTTGAAAATTTGGTGGGCAACAGAAACTAATTCATAACTACAAACCTCTTCTAGTAATTGGAACGATGTATAGAGTTAAATCTCCTTGAACTTGAAAAAAGTTCAAAGGCATTAGAATATTTCTGAAAACTGCTTCTTTTTCTTAGATGAGGAACTCTTCTCAGGAATGTACATAGATTTCATGGGAACAGATGCTGCTATTTTTCGAAGTTTAACTAAGAGGAATGCAGTACGAACTGATCAGCACAATTCAAAATGGCTGAGTGGTAAGAAACATTTACTGCTATTTTCTTCTTCAATATTTTGACTTAAACTAACATTTAATTCTATACTGAAAATAGGGAAAGTAGTTAAAATTAAGATATCAGGCGTTCACATGAGTAGTTATAGTTCCATACCCAATGTGCTAAATATTTAGACAAATACATGGCTATCATTCTTATTCCAATTGGTTGATTTATTAATGATATAATTGCCAAAGAACTAGGTAAATCAAATATCAGAATACACACCATGCCTACATCCTCTTGTTAAATGGCATAATATATCCCAGTTAAGTATAATTTTATCTCTTGTAATTGCTTTTATATTTCTGTAATTCTAAATTGAAGAATTTTATTACATTCACGACTTAAAGTTATAACGAATTGATCATATGCAGAAACACAGTGTTTGCTTACACTAATGATCTGAAATTATTGAATAATACATATTAGTTTTTCAAACATTGACAATGTCAAATGTGTGATGATATGATGACTTTATGATAATCCTTGTTTAATTGATTCAAATTGTCAAGGTCATAAGGAATTCATACCCTGAAAGGAGGCTAATCTGATTGTACTATATGATTCCTGCCAGTTTCTGTTGTGTAGAGCGCTTGCCATTTCACCCTCAAGAAACATGCAAGCACACTCTAAATTTCCTGTTTAGTTGATGATGCGGTTTAATGTGAATCACCACAATTATCCATTTTATTTCATTGATAGTTCAGCATATGAAAGCATTGATTGTTTTTTGCTTCTTCCTATTATTCCACCAGCACATCTGGAAATAGAAATTTCTAAGTCATTTTCTTCTGGAAATAAGGAAACCACTATGTCTACACTGATTACATTTTTTTCCCATATGACATATTCTCTTAGTTTCTCTTGCCTTGCTGTACTTTAAGGGAAAACAGACTCATATTTTTGATATTGCGTCAACAATTTCTTCTTCTCCAATATCTTCTTCCTCCTCTTCCCCCATCTTCCTCTTTCTCCTCCTTCCCCTACTCCTTCTCCCTCCTTTCCCTCATCCTTCTTTCACATCTTCTTATTCAGTTTCAATTAAGCTTATATACTCCACATTTAAAATCCAACATAAATATATACCACATTTAAAATCCAACATAAAAAATAAAACAAGCATTAAATTCCATGGGAAATAACTGCTAAAATAATGTTCAATTTCTTTGAAACTCAATTGTGAACAAAGAATTTCTACATTACTATATTCCTTAAATGTTCTTCAGAGACAAAGTTTGGTCTGTCACACTAGAGCTATAATTTGTTGTGTTTGGTACTCTCCACACAATATGCTGATATACAATCACTGCTTTTTTGAAATTTGGTCTATGAATAGTGAATTATTCACTGTTTGGAAAGAAATGCATATATCATCTATTTCAAATACTTGTAGGTAGCTTTTTATCATAAGAACATAGTTTCCATATTTCTTTTACAGAACCTATGTTTGTGGATGCACATGTGATCCCAGATGGCACTGATCCCAATGATGCCAAGGTGTATTTCTTCTTCAAAGAAAAATTGACCGACAACAATAGGAGCACAAAACAGATTCATTCCATGATTGCAAGAATATGTCCTGTAAGTGCATTGGAATTTCTATTTAAAGAAGTAATTCAAGTTATGTAATTTGTTTTCCAGTATTTCAGTTGTTTTATCATTTACTATGACCAATGAATAAAATGCAGAGAGGAGACATTTTTAGCACAGCATTTATTTCACAGTTTATGTGAGACAATCACACTGCATTTCAGGAAAATATTTTGATTGTTGTTTTAAAAATAGAACTAGTTTTGGCAAGTTTTTCCATTCCATTTGCTGTGTTGATTCAAACAAATGGGAAATTGTAAATTACCAAATAAAACACATAATTATTGTAAATAAAATATATCTGAATTTCAGTAAAACGTTGTTATGGTGGAGTTGCTTGCAGTAGTGGAAAATTTATTTTTACTGATTTAATTTTAAAGAACAAAATGTCAGTATATTAGCATTACATATAAAAACACTGAATAAAATTCATGATGCACTCTTCTGTAGGCTCTTTATAGACTTTTATTGGTATATTTATGATAATCTTCTTGTCAAACATATTCATTGAAGCATCTAGTGTCTATCTTTAAATATTACAATACTCTGTTGGCTGGAACTCAGCTGTTTCTCAATAATTTAAGTCAATATAGCAAAGGTAGCAGAAAGAAAAGGGTGGTTGGACACCATGGAAGACAAAATTCACCAGTAAATAGTATGAAAGAACAAAATGCCATGCCCTGTGCATTGGCCGGGAAGATGTATGTAATAAACCATCCACTCAGAAATACTAAAATTAAATGAAGTTGCTGAGGAGCTGGAGATAAAATAGAACTATTTGGAGCTTTCTGATGTGGGATATACCCACTTTCCTGAATATAGTAAACTCTGAAAACTATAACTGTATGCAGTAAATTTTATTTACATTTAAGAGAATAAATATTTTTCTCAGCAAGAGGCAGTTATTTATTCATCATATATAAATGTTTATGTCATATGTTACAAAAATTAAACCTTACACTAGTCCATTCCTAGCTGACATTGTACTACAAAAAATCACAAAATACTATAGATCTTAGTGTTTGTGATTGACAGTAATCCCTTTTAATCTTTAGATAACAATAAGCTAAAATCATTGTTCTCATTGAATTTTTAATACACAATTACTTCTCCAATCATCTGAATTGTATTTACTAAATGATTTCAGAATGACACTGGCGGACAACGTAGTCTTGTCAACAAGTGGACCACATTCTTAAAGGCAAGACTTGTGTGCTCCGTCACAGATGAAGATGGACCTGAGACACATTTTGATGAATTAGGTGCGTGAACATGATAGTGAGCATTGTTTGGAGAAGGATTTTATGAGCATTGTGTACCTTAGCAAAGTCTCAGAAAGGCTTCAGCATTACAATTTTAAATCATAGATTTAAAGAAGATTTACACTTTATCTTATTTGCAGACTTAGTGTATTAAGGTTTTCAGAGTTCTATTCTGTACTATCCACCCTTTGAGACTTTCCACTTAGTGTTTATACACTCCATCATTTCCACAGAGAACCAGTCTTCATGAATGCCCTCAGGGCCAGGCTGACATTTGATTCACATGACAACTTCTTCTCATCACATTATACCAAATTGGAGTGATTGCCCATTAATACCTTCCTGAGAATTAATGTTCATAGCTGAAACTATTGTCTTGAGGTAATTCAAATTAGCAATTAGAATTTTGGAAATTTTCAAAGAATGTGCTTTTCTTTTTTGTAGAGGATGTATTTCTGCTAGAAACTGACAATCCGAGGACCACCCTAGTGTATGGCATCTTCACCACATCCAGGTAATTATTCAATAGCTACAACTCTTCTGTTAAACAATGAATCCTCTCATTTTATTTGCTTTTGCTAGATTACTAAAATATATTTGGTCTCAATGAATGTTTCCAAGTAATTTACAAAACATTTTAAACAATCACATAGTTCTCCAGAAGAAACAAAGGTATGGGTTGATTTGTTGAAGCAAAATGGTGGAAGATTTTGTTTAAATAACAAAACTAATAATTTTAATAAAATCAGAATTGAAGGTTTTGATGGTAATGAATATGTTTCTTTCCTGTATTTTGACAGTGGTAGTACAGGTATACACATACAAGTCATAGAAGTGTATATATTTAATTATTTATACCAAATATGCATTATTAAATAAAACTAGAAAAATATTTGAATTTGCTTTGTAATAGCTTTTGCTTCTTTGCTCTTCTAAAGTGATGAGTATGAGGAGCTGGTCAGTTCTTTTTCTGTAATATAACAACATTTTTGCATTTCAAAATAGGTTTAATATTTTGTAGTTTTTCATGGAGTTCCACAGCAACTTTATTGTGCTTTAAAGTATATTTCCCATATTTCTCATGTACTTGAAGTCTTCTGTGCACATTTCTGTTGATTCATTATGTACTATGTGTTACTGTGAATTCAGCCTTGTACTCTAGCCAAATCTATTGGACCAGAAGGAAGGTTGTATTGGTTCCTTTTAATTTATTAGAAAAATGCAAAATGGTGATTGCAAACATTCTTTTCTAAGTGAATGTTAAATATGGTATAAAAGCCTGGGGAAATGCTTCAGTGAGAAAAAGATCTTTCTGTCCATACATGATACCCTGCCTTAGAGGCCTGACACCTATGTAAATGCCAAGTGTGATGGCATTACATATATCCCCAGTGTTGTTTGGGGTGTAGAGAGAGAAGTGGGTCCTAGGAAGCTTGTGGGCTGGCTAGTTTCAGGGGAATGGCAAGCAATAGGTACATTGACACTATATTGAGGGAATAAGGCCAGTAGTGACAGAGGATGACATCTGTTGTCTCCCTTTGGCTTTTGCATGCACAAGTCTAGGTGTACATGCCTACATACAACATGTATACACATGCACAAACGCATACACAGCACACAAAAAGGAGAAAGGTAAAAGGAAGTATAGTGCAACTGTGAACTGTTACAAACTTTTCAAAGACCAAAGAATTGGCAGGAATACTGGTTACCAGTCATTTAGGTTTATGTCACAAGAAATCTAGACTGAAATCCTTGGCTGTGTGTTTAACTACTGGTCCAGAATATGAGTCATCTCACTTTAGTTCATAAAATACTGAACAACAAAATAACAAAACGGTCAATAAAATGCTGATTTTAATAAAATAGTTTCTGGTTCATACTTGTCAAAAATTAGCTTGACCATTAAACATTAGAAATTATCACTTATAACTACTGATGTTAATGGTTAATGATAAAGCTTTATTCCCATGAAAATTTTTTTCTATTAGGCTTCCAGTTTGGAGTCAGCATTAAGTCAAGGAGCATGATTTCAACTGTTCTGACCATCATTCTTATTAAGGATTTAAACAAAATTATGATGGAGTATAACTTATTGAAAGAGTTTTTGGATCTTTTACAGGAACATGAATGTGCTCACATGCATCACTTGGTGTCCATGCTGTGTGGTGTCAATTCATGTGTTTGGGTACCCAAGAAACTATGGTCTGTGTGTATATGTGTGTAAGCTAAAAGGAAAGCTTGGGTGTTCTTCCTTAGGAGTTATCATCCAACTTGCTTTTTGAGAGAGTCTTTCTGAGGCCTGCAGCTCACTGAGTAGGCCTTATAGGCTGAGTGGTAAGATCAGTCTCTCCTCCCCTTCCCTCTAATGGGGCTCTTACAACACTTCTCCAATTATGTTTTTTGTTGTTTGCTATGTGGATACTGGGGACTGAACTCAGGCCCTTATACATGCAAGGCCAGAATTCTGAATTGGGCTCTTTCCCCCATCCCTGAATAATTTTCCATGCTGTGATTAGAGTGGAAAATATACAAACAATGACAAGGTAGACTTCACCACTAACAAGTCTATCATGGAAGAACTCTGAAGTTACAAGAAGACTGTCGAAGACATGATGCTCACATATTAACGGAAGTTATTTCAGAAATCGTAACTCTATTCATGGTGGTTTACAATAAAATTAGTGCTTTTGTTTGTTTTTCCTTTTATTGAAAGTAGATTTTTTTTCATAGATCATATCTCTTGATTATGCTTCCCCTCCCTCTATTCCTCCCAGTTCCTCCTCATTTCCTGTCACATCTAGATCTATCCCTTTTCTGTCTTTCACTGGAAAACAGGCTACTATTGGATAACAATAAAATATAACACAGTAAGGATAAAATAAAAACTAACACATCAGAATTGAACAAAACAAACTGAAGACAAGAGCCCAAGAGAAGGAACATATATGTATATGTATATTAAATAAAAATAAAAAATAATAAAATAAAATAAAAACAAGGTACCACCAAAGGTGCCCTTGAGTTTGTTTTCAGTTGGCCATCTACTGCTAGACATGCATCCTACCCTTGGGAGTAGTTTGTTTTCCCAGTGAGAGTCTTTTAAAGGAAAGTAAATATTCATTGGCAAGGGGTTGTCAATTGGAGATTATATCTGAACTAGGGATGGGGGTGTATGTCATAATCTTTCAGCTCTTGGTCCACATCTGGTGCAGACATGTGTCTCAGTCTCTATGAGTTCATATGTGCTTTAATGTTGATTTAGAGGGCCTTGTTTTCTTGGCATTCTTCATCTCTTTGGCCCTTACATGCTTTCTGCCTCCTCTTTCACCTTTCACAGGCTTCCCTGAGCCCTTTAGGGAGGGATTTGATGGAGACATCCCGACTAGGGCAGGTTGTTACAGGATCTTTCACTCTGCATTTTGTCAGCTGTGGGTCTCTGTATTGGCTCCCATCTGCTGCAGGATGAAACTGATGATGGCTGAGCAAAGGCAATGACTGGTCTGCTTTCCAAGACAGAGTGCAAATTCTCACAGGCACAAATGGAATACATTTTAAGAAAAATAAAACAGATTCCTTGTTTTCATTTTCAGCTCTGTTTTCAAAGGATCTGCTGTGTGTGTGTATCATTTATCTGATATACAGACTGTATTCAATGGGCCTTTTGCCCACAAAGAAGGGCCCAATCACCAGCTGATATCCTATCAAGGCAGAATTCCATATCCTCGCCCTGGAACTGTGAGTATCCATGAACTTTACTTTTATCTTACTTAAGCAAATATTATGTTCATATATAGTAAAGATAACTGTGGTCCTCTGTGTAATGCTCATTATAATTTTTCAACTTCTTGGTTTTAACTTAATTCTTACATGGTTTGAGATTTGCTAATATGTCGTGTATATTATAGAAAGTGTGATTTTTAAATTAATTTTATTTAAATTAAATAATCTTATTTTACATACCAGTCCCAGTTCCCTCTCCCTCATGTCCTTCCATTCCCCTACTGTACCTCCATCCCACCCCTTATCCACTCCTCATCAAGCAGAGTTTCACAGCTAAGCACTGAGCCAGACTCCTGGAATCCAGTCATAGAGAAGGAGGAGTGGTGAGCAAAGGGGTCAAGACCATGCTGGGGAAACCCACAAAAAACAGCTGACCTTAGCAAGTGGGAGCTCAAGGACCTCAGTTTGGCAGTTGGTGAACCAGCATGAGACTGAACCAGGCCCCCTGAACATCGGTGTTAGTTAGGAGGCCTGGGCAGTATATGGGGCCTCTGGCATGAAACCAGTTTTTATCCTTAGTGCACAAATGGGCTTTGGGAGCCTATTCCCTATGGATGGATATGCTCTCAGCCTAGATACACAGGGGAGGGCCTAGGCCCTGCCCCAAATGACGTGAAAGTGTGCTATTTATAACTGTTATAATTACTAAGAAAATCTCATTGAAATTTCAAAATAATTTATTTAAATATGCTAGAGATTTTTCCTGATTTTGAAACTCTCACTTTCAAAAGTTTAGAGGAAGAGTAAATATGTTAACACAAGTCCTAGCCATGCCTAGCCATATGCCCCCACCCACACCTGTTTCTTTCTTATACTAATAGGGTTTTTACTATGTATACCTGGCCAGCTTAATTACAAAGTAGACAAGGCTGGTCTTGACCTCACAAAGATCCACCTGCCTCCGACTCCCAAGAGCTGGGACCAAGAAATGTATCAGCATATTAACATGCCCTTCCTGCTAGCTTTTTGTTTGTTTGTTTTTGGTTTTTTGGTTTTTGTTTGTATGTATGTTTTACTTATGTGTCTGCTTGAATAACCAGCACTTAATTGAAAAAAACAATAAAAAAAAAAAAAAAAAACTAAGGAGGAAATTTTAGTAAATTCTTGAACCAATTGAAAATGAAAGCATAGCATTCCAGAACCTTTGGGGGAATATGGCTAGGTGAGTACCAAAAGGAAAATTTATGACTGTATATGTTTACATTAAAAAAGTCAAAATGAACCTAAAGAGATAGCTTGTTTGTCAAGATCACCTCTTGCTCTTGCAGAGAACCCAGGTTCAATTTTCAGCACTCATGTGTTGGTTCACAATCATCTATAACTCCAGTTCCAGTGCATCAGTGTCCTCTTATGACTTTTGTGGGTACCACGTATGCACAAGGTACACAGACATACATACAGGTAAAACACTCACACATAAAATAAAATTAATAAATCTAATTTTCTTAAATGGGATTGAAGTAAGGCTCAGCAGTTAATAGCATCTGTTGCTCTTACAGAGGATCCATGTTTGATTCTCAAAAACCATATAGAGGCTCACAACCATCCATGCTTCTATTTCCAACAGCTCCAATGCCCTTTTCTGGCATTTGCAGAGACTGGGTACACATATGATGCACATGCATACATACAGGCAAAACACTGAGAACTCAAATAAAATGAATTAATTTAATAAAATATAAAAACACCTCAAATAATCCATCATTAAAAGTTTTAGAAAAGTAAGACAAAAGCAAGTTCAGAAACAGTAGGCAGCAAGGTAAGGAAGGTCAGGGCCCATTGTTTTATTTTGCTTTGTTTTTTCAAGACAGGGTTTCTCAGTACAGTCCTGCTGTCCAAGAACTCACTTTATAGACAAGGTTGTCCTTGAACTCAGAGATCCACCTGCCCCTGCATCACAATGATAGGATTAAAGGCATGGGCCACTACCACCCAGCATCATGGCAGATATTAATAAAGTGAACATGTAAAAAACAATTCATCCAATCAAGCAAGCATACTATAACCAACAGATACATGAGATTGACTGATCCCTAGCTGAGCTGACAAAGGGAAAAGACTAAAGAAATAAGATTAGAGAAAACTCAGATGAAATACACATCCTTATTAGAGAATACTATTGTATCCCAGAAATGTTGCTAAATCTAGAGGAACTTGAGAAATTATTAAACATATGTGACCTGCCAGAGTTAAATGAAGAAAACACAAACAGCTTAAACAAGCCATAACACAAGGAGACTGAAACAGCAATAGAAAAAAAATCTCCCTAAGAAAAGAAGGAACAGAAGTGCTCACTGCTCCATTCTACCAAACTTTTATGGAAGAGCTGTCAATAGTACTGATCAAGCTGTTCATAAAAAGAAAAGAAAAGAAAAAGGAGCACTACCAAAATAATTTCACTAAAGCAGTATTCTCTTGAAGCTAAAGCCAGATATAACAGAACAAAATGAAACAAAACTGTGGGCTGCTCCCTCATGTAAGACATTGTGACCACAGCCTCCTCTCCTTTTATTCCTCCAAGTCTCCCTACCTCCTCTCTCCCCCCCCCCCAGATTAATTTCTTCTTTGTTCCCCTTCAGAAGAGAGGTCTCCTAACTGAACTTAACATAACAAGATACAATGAGACTAGGCACAAACCCTCATCTCAAGGCTGGAGGAGGCAACCCAGTAGGAGGAAAAGGATCCCAAGAGCAGGTAGAAGACTTTCAGTATTATGAGTCTCACAAAGATACCAAGCTAAACAACCACAGCATGTTTGCAGAGGACTTAGCTCTCAGACTGATGCAGGCTCCTTGATTGCTACTTCGGACTCTTATGAACCCCGATGAGCCCTGTTTAGATGATTCTGTGGCCTGTGTTCTTGGCCTCTCTGACTCCTATAATCCTTCCTCCCTCTCTACCTGTTGAATGCAAATATTCTTAATAAAGTTCTTAAAATTCATATTCAAGATATTAATCTCACAAAAGATTTCTAATGTTGATTCACTTTATTTTTATGCCATTAGAAAGCATGTTATTATATTTCCCAGTCCTTTGTCTTCTAAAGGTCATAAAGTACTCTATTGTCAAGTTTTTTTAATCATCCAATAAGCATAATAGGACTCTATTTCCCGAAGGTTAAAAAAGACTTGAGTTTGACTCTTGGGATAAGAAACTGGAAGATGGAACAGTGATTTGCTTTTATATAGAAGAAAAAACATCTAGTTACTTTTGTAAATCATGAGATTTACTATTGATCCCTAAAAACACTGTAGTTAAAATGTTACAATTAATCATGTCTAACAACTAACTTGATCATAGAATTCACAAGTCCCTTTAAAATGGTGCCTCTTTAATGCTCATGGTCAGAACACTGACTAATTGCTTTTACAACTGAGGAAAACAATCAACAGATATAGTTATCTCAGGGCACTTCAAGTCTGAGAGTAGATATGGAGCAAAGATGACCTAGGAGGAGAAAAGGTAGGGGAAAGGCTGAGAATACTGCATGTGAGTATAAGTCTCTCTTTACTTCATTCAAATCATTTCATGCATTTCCAGAAGCCTACTAGCTGATTCAAAGGTAAATTGTGTTTTTATGATGATGAGAAGTTGACCTAATTAAGCCTATACTCTGGGAACAGTAACAAGTGCTGTGATTTGATGTACTTTCTCCAGTGTGTGAGCAGTCAGTACGGGAGCAGCTTTCTTGTAAACTCAGAAAAAAAATTATAAGCTCCATCCTGGAGCTTATAAGTGCATTTATTAAATTGAGGCCTCCGAATCTCGTGAAGAATGTTCACAAGCCAACTTGCTGCTACCTCTTAAGTATATTATTTGTACCTTTTCTCAACCAAAGGCATCCCAGCATAACTTGAAATTAATGATTCTGGGGATATTTATGCAGCTAAAATCAGCCTCACTTCACCTCTGGCTCTTTATTCACAAGGCACCTTGAAAGCCACCTTGACATGGCAGGGCTTTGAGTATCATGTAGAGAATGACTATGTCGAAAAACAATAACTGTGTACACTATAGGAAGAGACCAACACTTTTCCACAAATAAACCAATGCTAAATTAGAAAATTCTGCTAACAGTCCAGTTTTTTAAAGCTCTTAAGAGTAAGCATTTTCCTCTGTCCTAAAACAGTGTGGAGTAAGCCCAGGATTAGTGACACACATCTGGAACAGACTCCAAGCAAAAAGGGAGTAGTCAGTACTTAAGGCATTTTTCTATAATGTGGTTTCTTACATCTGGTATTGAGACCACAACAGCTCCTTTAAATCCAGAAATTGTCAGATGAGTGATCCCTTGGGAATCAACGGGGCAGGGTGGAGAAATGACCCTGAAACTCCTCCTAGAGAAGTATGCTTCCCCAAAGATCTGGTCACTCCACCCTGAGCTCAGAAAAACAGCATGAAGTCAGCTTTCTAACTCAGTTGCCAGTGGCTGCCTCAGCCCTGTACTTCCTGCTTCTGTAGCCAGAAGATCTTTGGCCAAGTGAACTCAACAGTTCTTTTCCTCTGGGTCAAGAATGCTATGTCTGTCTCTGAAGTCTTCCCAATGAGGGATCAACTGTGATGGTCATTCTTTATTTTTTCACACAGTAGTCTGGTTGCTGGGTCAACCTCATAAATATATAACTGTGTTTATAAAATAAATGCCACTGGAAGAAATCCTATACCCTCATCCTCAAGTTCCCTGTAGGTGCTTCCTTCAAAGGAGGGTATGTAGCTGTGCTAGCAAACAGCCCAACCAACAAGCATATGTAAGTGCTGGGAGGGTGGCCAAGTGTGTCATAATGTTTTCCCTTAAGTATCTCAGTTTGTGGAAGAAACAAGACACCTTTGGTATGTTGCAAAGGGCATGTGACACTGCAGAGTCTCTGCGGCTGAGCTAATGAATTACTTTATTCTGTTGCAGTGAGGGTGAGGCTTCTGTAGACATTTTGCATAGCCTGCATATCCTGCTGAAGCAGAACCTAATAAAGCGATCAGTTTGAAGTTGTATTTTGAAGTACATCAGATCTGCAACCTCCAGTATCCCAAGGAGGGCTGTTCCCTGATAAGCACAGCCTCTGTTGCTCTTCTGTACTGATCTTAGCAGTCATATGTACCCACTATCCTAAATTTGTTTTCCTTTTGAGATTATGACTTAATTACATTTCTCCCTTCCCTTTACTTCCTCCAAAGCCTCCCATATACACACATACTACTCCCTACTATACTTCAAATTCATGGCCTCTTATTTACTAATTATTGTTTCATCCATATATATATATATACATGTCCTATAACATTACTTGCATTTTTATTTCAGTGATGTGTGTGTGTGTGTTGTGTAGGTAGGTAGGTAGGTAGGTAGGTAGAGGTCAGTTTGCCAATTTGCAGCTTTCACTATCTATGTACTCGGGGATGGAACTCAAGTCTTCAAGTTTGGTAGTAAATGCCTTTACATGCTGAGCCTCCAAGTTCATTTTTAAAATATTGACTCTTTCTTGTGCATGATAATTGGTACTGAAGAAAGTTTTGGCATTTATATTTTATGTGTGTCTCTAGTTATTACTTTGTTGTCAAAACAGATGTTTATCTACTTTATTAATGTAAAGCAGATGTTTGCTGTATTTGTGTACTTGTCTCTAGAAAGTTACAGTGATTCCTTGTTCTAATGTTCATTATAGGACTTGTCAAATGGCATTTAGATAAAATAAGAAGGTACACATCACATATGTATTAGTTTAGAATGTATTGACTTTGAAAACTTTCAGCATGTGGCTGAGGAGGGGAACATAGGAAGACTAGCCACAGCAGTGCTTATAATACTTGAGTGCAGCTTAGGAGTTAGGCAGGGACACAACTGTTTAATCTCTCTTTGACATGGCCAGCATTGTTTCAGCTTTCCTTTTGGCACTTCGATCAGTGTCTCAGAAAGTGGTATGTACTGCTACTTCATGAGAGTGGAATAAATGACAAGGAAAAATAAACACTTAAGGAGTTTACTTAAAAGGATTTGATGATGATCCATCTAATCAAATTAACCTACAGAATGTTAATGTTTATGATGGTGCTTAGTGATGACATCATCTTCTTTTAGTATTCACATCATTTCACCCTTCTTTTACCCCTCCCAATTCTTCCATACCCCAGCATTCTCAAATTCATGACTTTTTCTGTAATTATTCTTGTTTCTATAATTACTATTACATGCAAACATATGTGCACAACTTTCTGAACCCATTTAATATTGCTCTTACATACATGTGACTAGGGATGACACTTACCTGCTGCAAAAAGAAGCTTCATTGATGAGGTGTGAAGCAACACTTACCTGTAGGTATAAAGATACATATTTACAATCTAATTAGGAATTCTATTGCTTTAGGAAAATACCACAGTAGGAGGCTTATTCTTCAGCCCTATGGTCCCTTCAGCCACAGGTGGTTGAATACACACACACACACACACACACACACACACACACACACACAGAGAGAGAGAGAGAGAGAGAGAGAGAGAGAGAGAGAGAGAGAGAGAGAGAGAGAGAGAGTCCAGTCTGATTTACAGGTTCTGATAGCTAAAATTGGACACATGTCTATTTGCCTGAGCAATAATCAACTCTGAGGACATAAAAGACTTCAGTGTGAATTTTGAACTGCTGAAATTTATAGAATATGGAAATAGAATATAGAAAATTCATAGAAATTTGTAGACTATAGAATAAAATATGGTTTGCATTATCCCAAGGTTCGAATAGACATGCTCCCTTGTACCAGATGATAGTGAAAGAGCTGTCCCACATGAAATGTCCTTGCCAAGTTTACAATGAAGAAACTCAACAATGCATATAGAGAGGGGAAGTCAACTTCTTCTCTTATCACCATTTTTATAACTCAGTTTGTCTTGACTGCTGATCCTATGACACAAATCAGCAGAATGAATCATAATCAGAATTACTTCCTTTCTAAATTTGAAAATTATGTCATTTGATGACTCATTTCAAAGGTAGAAATACATTGTGCATAGATAACAAATGTGTGAGAAGAGGAGTTATTGAGTGTAGAAATGTAAAGCTCTCTAGTGTGGTGCTGGCAAGATAGTTTAGCAAATAAAGGAACTTGTTATTCAAGCCTTATGACCTGAATTCAATTCCTAGAACATATGTAAATAAGGAAACAGAGAACTGACTCCACAAAGCTGTATTTAACACACACACACATGCACACTCAAGTACATGCATACACACACACATACATACATGCACATATACATATGTATCACCATCAACAATAATATTAAAAGTAATCACATATCAAACTACTAAACTGACTAGAAATTCTACAAATTGCCTAGTAATGTTTGTTAACTATGCACTTCTTTAGAACCTAGCAATGAAAATGCTTCCAAATACTTCTGGAGGTGATCAACATAGCAAGCCGTAATTAGTGGTGTCTGGAGAGTCTGGAGCTACTGAAATTGCCCTTGCATTGTTCTTTCCATACTTTCATTCAGTGGGCAGCATGCTGCATCTTTTTCCACTTTGTGTGAAAAATGAGGGCTGAAAACACCCATAACCCATACTTTGAAGAAATATGGAACACAACTGTCAGCTTTGAACAACCTCAAATTAAGTTCTTTGTCCCCATTTGGTCTTTATTTTGGGGAATTTATAAACATAAACATTTAAATATAATGCTTTTTCTTATAATAAAAACACATATCCAGGTCATGGGACTACGACAGGCTGTCTTTTATTACTTGTTTCATCAGTCATTTAATTGTTCCTGTTGCCTTTCTCCAAAAAGAAGAATATGTGTAATGGTGGTGGTGGTGGTGGTGGTGGTGTGTGTGTGTGTGTGTGTGTGTGTGTGTGTGTGTGTGTGTGTGTGTGTGTGTCTTTGTCTGTGTCTGCGTGTCCTGTAAAAAGCCCTTGGCTAAATTGGTTTTGTTCTAAAACTTACATCCATGATGATAATGGATTTGCATTTGGATTCTGCTGAGACTTTTGTGTAAATGTTTGCCTATTCATGCTGACCCAATTTCACTGATGTCATTGGCTAGATATATCAAGGATTCAACACAGAGAATGACACATCTTGCTAGGTTTCCAGTATTACTTCTCTTTCTTAACAAAATCGGCAATAAAGGTTTGACAGATTTCACACAAAATTCCCATTTCTGTGTTATGTTAAAATCTGTCTGAAGATGTTCACCTTATGGTCCTGATGGTAACAAGGGGATGGTTATGAAGGTTCACTGTCAGCTTTGAGGGGTTCATAACTTTCTAGTGGGTCACAGTCCTTATAGTATACCACAATTACCAAGATGCTAAGAATGGCCGTTTTGCTTTGTGTTCTATATAGAACTATAAATAAAAAGCGAAGCAGAGGTATTTTCTTTAAAGAAAAATATCACAGTCATTTTTGCTTCTGAGAGTAATGTTATGAAGTATTTAATAGATTCAGGTACATACTCTTTGTACATACTTACATATTGTATTCAACAACTTGGCTCACAGAACTTAACACGCAGGTGCTATTTGTGGGTGAGTTTGAGCTCCTAGCTTCAGCAGTTCTGTTTTGCCTGAACTTTGGTCCCAGGTACCAGAGTAACCATCCTCCTCTGAAGTTCTGTTAGTCCCCTTTCCATTGTGGAAGCTTTCTACTTATTATTTTCTCATGTCATCGTTGCTTCCTATCTGTCCTGAAAATTCAAGGCTCTAATTATTCCTTTTCTGGACAGAAGGGATTCTCCCATTTCTCTGGTCCTTATACCAAAAGTCCAGTTCATATATTGAAAAATATAACCACTCTCTGAACTACATTCATCAGACAACAACTAGTTCCAGTTTTGTAATATGACAAAATGATAGACTAAGTAGCCAGAACCAATGCCCACCAATACAGCTTATGATCTAGACAACAAACATGCCATAAAGAGGAAAGCACTCAATATGTGAAGTACCATTCATGAACAGCTGTGAAGGCAAGCACAGCTAAGGAAGCAGGACAGAGGTGGAGACAGAGCTGATCATACTGGAGGAAGTGACTTTTGAACTGAAGACTGAATGAGGAAACAGAGGAAGCCAGGGTTTGGAGCAGAGGAAGTCAGATGGGCAACTGCACGTCAAGACCTAAAGACTAATTAAATCTAACTAAATGTATCACGTATAATAACTTTTTGGAGATAGTGATCTCTCTATCTATAAGATCAGACTATTCGTTTTCTTCTCAGTAGATCTCCAATGATTTTAAAACAAGTTGACAAAAAGTTGTTTTGGAAAGGACTATAATTAAGACAAAGGGACCATTTTATTAATCGCTTTTCTTTTCTTTTTTTTCAGTGTCCAGGGGGGGCATTTACACCCAATATGAGAACCACCAAGGACTTCCCAGATGATGTTGTCACTTTTATCCGGAACCATCCTCTCATGTACAATGCCATCTATCCTATCCACAGAAGGCCTCTGATTGTCCGCATAGGCACTGACTACAAGTACACAAAGATAGCTGTGGACAGAGTGAATGCTGCTGATGGACGATACCATGTCCTGTTCCTGGGAACAGGTAGGTAATGGGGCTCATGTTGTACTGTAAAGGAATGTTCAGTAATTTAGGTAGAAAGGAAAGACCAAAATATTGAGACTAAAAGGACACCAATGTTTCCTTTTATTTAGCCTTTAGTGGGGGGTTTAATCTCCCATATCTCATTTTCCAAAACTGTAAATGGAGTTAATAAAATAAATTGCTTATGTGGTTGTGAGAAACAACTGAAGTTGATATTGAAAGCATCCCAAATAGTTTCTCATCCATATTAAAGTGAAATAAAAATAATCAGTTAAATTAGAGCTGGAAAGTTTTACCTATGAGCAGTGTTCTTCTGAAGTGAAGCATAATAAGTGACTTATTAATCAATACTTGGAGTCATTTCCACACTAACAATGATAGATGTTCTCTGTAGCCTGGCAAAGTGAACTAAAGTAAGGATAGCTTTTTGTAAAATGTTATAGTTGCTATGTTAATAGAGCTCACAATTCCTAAATTTTCTATTTCTTTTACTAGAAATTTGATGTAATTAGTTTTATTTACAAAGACTTGCTTTATTGGGGACAATGAGTTATAAGGATTGGCTCTCACAATGTGGTCCTTAGACCAGCAAGATCAATATCACATAGACTTGCTAGAAATACATTTTAGGCCCTCCAACAAGAATGCCAGATACAAAACCCAGCCATCTGTGCTTTAGCAAGCCCTTCTGGTGCTTCTAATACACACTAAGTTTGCAAATCACTAGAAGAGAGAAGGGAGCGTTCTCCTGCTGAGTACACAGGGTTACAAATTCCTTTCCTGCTCGACTCCATTTACACAGTGTCTACTAGGTTCCTCCAAGCAGCAGAATTCCACACACTTATTGCCCTGTAGGCACTGATACAGATCTCATCAGTTGTCCTTCTAGAATGTAAAACAACTCCATGAGGTATGTCATGTGTCTTCTAATTAAGGAAACAGATATAAAACAGACCTGTGAAAGACACTGTGGAAATGTGGTGGTTGTGGAATATGTCCTCTGAATTGAAGGCGTTGCACTCAGATTTCAATCAGTCTCAAAATGTGGTTACTTTTTCTTGGCTAAATAAAACTTCCAGCCTGCTCTTCTCATGAAGTTCTTATTTTACCCCTTCTTGTAGCTAAAACCCTGAATCTGGAGCTTTCATTCACACATGATTTTTGTTTGAAATCCTAGAGACAGAGAATCTTCTGTCATGTATTCTTTGGCATGCGTGGAAGAGTCTGGGTTTCACTGCCCCCACTTCACTTGCCTGAATTGGGAGGCATAAAATCCTTCCTTTCCTGACCTAATCATTCCTTATCTCTCAACTACCCTGCCATCTCCAGGACCTGTGTTGCCAATTATAACCTTAATGCCTAGATTCTCTCATTTTATCCTGTACCAACTTTGACTTAGACAGTTTCCTCTCCCACACAGAGCCTGAGTGAGTATTGACCCGACTGCCAATTCTTCTTCACTGTAGATTTCACCAGGGCCTTGAATGTTCTCAAACTATAACCACGAAAACACCTCCCTGCTCTTGTATCATATGGCATTTGGAATCTCTCTTTGTCTGTTGGTTAAGCCCTGTGGCATGGCATGAAGTTCCTGGCCTCATTCTTCTTGGATGTTGGTATGTCTGCAGGGTTTTTCCCATGTCCTCCTAGTCCTATACATTCTTTGACCACCTTGTTTTATTCATTTTACTTTAATATGTACCATGTGCAAACAAATTTCAAAAGTGTGTCATTAATCCTTGGGAACTCAGTAGTTGAATAAGAATTTCAAACACTCCATTTATACTCTTGCAAGACTTTGTAACTAATACTTACTGCACTTCCCCCATATTGGATTCACTGTGGCACATTCTTTCCAAGCTTTGATCTCTTTGTAGTCTATAATTTCTCTATAGGCATATCACAGGGTTTTACTAGCCTAATAAATATTTGTCAGGTTGAACTTAAAGGGAAATGTGTGTATGTACACCGTTACACAGTTAATTCAGTGAATTCATGCATGCCCCCAAAAGACAGTATTCATTTGCATATACATGTTTTCATGGATAATTCCTAAATTACTACAAAGAGTTGTATTTATACCAACAGAATATTCAAGGTATAATTTGCATTTAAGGAAAAAGAAAACCTGTAGTTTTTGAAAGAAAGTCACAGTTTAGAATCCCAATTTTCTCAATGTCTCATGTTAGCTAGATGATTCATTTCTGTTTGGTTCTTTTGAAGCCTGTTTAGAAGGTGGATGTTGATGTCACCATAGGGTTCCTTTCTTTTGGAAATCTACATAACATATGTAGATTTCATGGGTGGAATTTTCAAGTCTTTGAAAATGTTCAGCCATGTTTATTTAAATAGAGGACAACAAGAAGCATAGTTTTGCAAAGACACTCCAGCTTTTCTTCCCACATAATTTCTGGCACCTTGACATGGATTTTTTTTTTTTTTTTGGTATGTGTATTTAAACACGTGTGACATTTCAAAATCTGTCCTTAGGCATATGCTTTTAATTGTAGTGGAGGCTTCACTAATGACTGCTTGCAAAGCCTCATGAGTGTCTAGAGAATTCTGTCCAAGTGGTAGAGTGCATGTTGTGGCAAGGCCTTTGCCCATAGCATCTTTCTGGAAATATAGTCACTGACTTAACCACTGACACTTGTCCATATTGTTCCAGCATTTCTGAAACTGGAATAACTAGGACACTTATATAAAATGAAATTTCTTTGAAAAATTCCTTCACCAATATCATTATCAGAAAACCATTTAATCTTTTCTGAAATGCCTTTTGAGAGAATCATGCATCATTGTCCTATGTATTACTAATTCTAAATGTAAGTGGGAGAATATCATTTTTTTTTTTTGATGTTGCCAAATTTCTAAGTACAGGAGAGAATTTCCATTGTCATGGATGAATAATGATGTACCAATTATGGTGACAATAAAGAAAGTTATTATCATGGCTTCCCTTCTTCTCTGCTATCTTGAGATCTTCAGGGGAATTCAGTGAAAGCACCAGTTGTCAAGAAAGTTTCCATAGAGAAAACTGATGTGACAGGTCATTGGAATTCAAATAGGACATTATGTAATTATAGAAGTATATCCAGTGTGAGTATTATGAATGAAAATGTACCTCACAGAACCTCCAGTTTGGCTATATGGACTCAAAGCCTGATATTGTTCTTATAGAATTTAATTGAGTTTCAGATGCTGATGATCTAACCTTCCAGTCTCATCACTGGACAGCCAAGTAAATTATCAGGCTGAAGAGATGGCTCATTAGTTAAAGGTTAAAGCTCACAGACCAAATTACAAAAGCTAAGAATAAGGGTTCCTTTATATGCCATGATGTTCCATGCAAAATAAGTAAGTGAAAGGTAGAGAGAAGAGAGGCACCAGGGTAGGAGGGTTGGACAAGGAGGAGACAGACAGAGCTTCAGTCAGCAAAGCCTACATAAGTGCCTTGCCCTTTTACAGAAAATGATTACTTCTGCTTATTTGGGTTGATAAATATAGAATTTTCATGAAGTTAAAGAAGCTATTTTGTAGTCATGGAGACTGTATAGGTATTGATGTTTCCCCAAGTAAAAATGTCTTTTAAATATTACATGTTATTTTGTTTAAATATAAACTGAGTCTATTTATTATTTTCATACAAATTCTGCTACTACACTTAAAAATCTCATGTGTATGTGTTTATGTGTGTGTGTGTGTGTGTGTTTGTATGTGTGTAAAATGAACTATTTGTTTTAATCATTAATATCCAGTTTTTTTCTTATTCTTTAAGAAGTTTGTGACATGCAAGCAAAGGCTGTCATGGGATTAATATTTCTCTTTTAATTTTGCCACCTACCACTTATACCGAGGCCATTGGTCCAGAGCAGACTCTAATAGAGAGTCAAAAATATTTTAGCCTGTTTTCCTTTTGCTTCTGGAGTTACAAAAATATTTTAGTGTCTGGGCAAGGTTCAGACACATTCTGTCAAGTTTACATTTTTAGCACTACACATGAATCAGAACAATGTGACTTTTGGTGAAAGGGTAAGTGTTCTTGTGAATGGGTGTTAAAGATTTAGGTTGATTTAATAATACTGTGGCTTTTTAAGGTAGAAACAGTGTGAGTGGTCTTCCACCACAACTCTTATATGCCCTATACCATTTCACACTTCTCATTAGCTTCCATTTAACTGGATGAGTACTGAGTCACAATGTTGGCTCCAGGAAGCCTTCCCAGTATGCAGAATTTTGAAGTATGTGCCACATGTGTGAGCAGAGCCTGAAAATGTCTGTCTGGCAACACTGGAGAATAAATGGCTTTCTTCATAACTGGAGGTGTTGGCAGTTGCTGCTCTTGAAATGGCATCCTGAATGAGCTACTGTGCCAGGAACTCTGAGTTTTTAAGGAACTCTCTAAAATACTCATGTAAAAGTTGATAGCTGGGAAATGTGTTTGATTTGGGAAAAGACTACCATCCTTTCAGAGCTATGCATGAAAATCCTCTAAGGATAATGTACACATTTCCCCCTCATTTAGGAGTGAAGAACAAATCTCTTGAAAATTACTGGACAGACTCTGGAAACTTCTGAGAGTTTATTCTAAGATCAGCAGGGATTTCCCCAGCAGTCAGTACTAGTGGGTCACAGTAGAACCATGGCTGAAAAGAGGGAAGAAAAATGATAATTCATTTTGCCATGGATGTCTTCTCATGTAAAGAACAGCAAAAAAGAAAGTGGTGAAAAGAAATATGAAAGGGGGAGGATAGTCTCAGAGTTGTCTTCTGTCCAAGGACAAATGCTCTCACATGAACTGTGTCTTATAAGATGAGGAACTGATTCAGTGGGTATAGTCCTTGCTGTGAAAACCCACCAACCTGTGTGTGAATCTGCAGAGCACACTTAAAAGCCAGAGGCAGCAGCATTTCCAGGGGTAGATGAGATGTGGGAACAGGGCACTCCTTGGAAATCTGTAGGCTAGTGAGCCAAGCATACCAGCAGTGAACCAGAGAGGG